ACAGCATGAAACCCCAATAATTGTTTGGGGCGTAGCTGTGCACAATCCAAAGACGCTATAATGTTTAGAACTCAGAAATGCACTCATCATATCGCAGATTTTTGATAATTCAACAAACCCCATCGAATACACCCAGCTACTGAAGTGTAGTGTGCTGACATTCCTTCAATCGGCAGTCGATCGAGGTCCAACCTCGGGGGGTTGGAGTGGTTAAGTACACAAGGCCAAAAAGCCTTCTCATCAGAACATCCATCATTCTGGTCACCCAGGAATTGTGCTGCACCTCCAAGTTGATTTAAACTTTCCTCCTGAAAGTCGATGATGTTGGCGTTTGTTCTATTTGGTGTCCTCAAGTCGTGTGACTGCGTGAAATAGTTCGACAGACATGAAGAAACTGCCCGGAAAATGGCCGAGTTTGAATCATGTGGTCATGTCTAGCTCATAATCGGTTTCAGCGCTGACTTCTGTCGCACCAAACCAAATTCTTCGACAGGATATCTGTATTTTGAAAGCTAGGAAGTCTAAAAAGTGGATTGCCACAGGGAACTGAATCGTTAGGCTACAGCGAGGTGAACGTAAAAATGGGTTAATCCTAGCAAACTTTGGACAGGTCGGAAATGATTCTTTTCCGAAATTCAAATCGATCTACCTTGAGGCTAAGATTGTGCGTTAGTCTTTCGAACGCTAGATCTGTTTGGCTGTTTTTATGCAGCCAACTTCAAATAGTTGGCTCACTTACCGGCTGTTTTCACGTCCATTTCAGGGCTTCAGGAACTCATATTTTGACTGTCCACTGAAAAAGCACCCTGTCTGTCTAACTACCAACTCGGCTGACACGCGATCACAGCATGATTCACGTTCGGCCATTGTCTGGGACGGCTCCACTGTAATGTCACGTAAGTTGCTTGTACAATGCATAGAGCGGATACAGAGGCCAAAATTCCTACAAAAGCTGGAAATAATGAGCAACAGGATGTATCCAGGAGATTAGATAGATGACGCATTCGCCACGTTCGGTGAGAGGGATATTTCCGATCCACGAGCCGATGCGTGTACACTAATGTCGTAGCCAACAGAACGTCTCAAATCGTGATGCAGACGTCAGCAATAAGCTGGAAAAACCGTGTGGTCGAATTATCCCGTCTTATAGTGTGGGGATGATGATGATCATCATCATCATTGTCAGCTGTAATACCCGCGTACCCCTCGTACAGTGGTTGTAGCTGCCGCAGTTTCGTTCACCGATGATTTGGGGGGAGGGGTAGGTAGCTGCGCATTGCAGGTGGTAGCTGATAAATTGCTGCATAAATCCAGCACTGCCAGTGAGCTGTCAAGTGGGGTGGGGGTTGGAAAAGGAGCTATGCATTGAAGGCAATAGCTTGGATGCACGAGTGCCATTGAGGGCGCGACTGGGCCATGTCTGACAATTTCTCTAGCCATTGATGTGGACCGTCTCGGGGTCCCCATCCAGGAAGACGCCAGTGTGTGGGAATGAGATTAAGCTTGGGCAGTCATGTTCCGGCGTGGACCAGCTGTGAGTAGGACTTTCGATCTCCTAATAGTTCAGCTGTAACACCCTTTTGGTGCCTAGCTGTCATGCCACCCGAAGGAAGCATGAGGGCTGGGATGCTGCCCGGTTGCCCAAACCTAGACAGGGAAAGTCGGGAAGCAGAGGTCGGGTTCAAACCAGGGACATTCTTTTCAGTAAATTCGCGTTTTACTTACTGACCGGAAGGTCCGTGGTTCAAACTCAACCCAGGCATCTCGACTGCTCCTGTCTAAGCTTGGGGAACCTAGCAATGTTCCAGCCCTCGTGCTTCATTCAGGTGGCATGGCAACTAGGCACGGAAAGGGTGTTATAACCGAACAATTACTACTGTTATCTAAGCTTGTCACAGTGGTAGGTATTGGAAGACGTGAAGAGCGTCAGACGTCAATTGATCGATCAGCTCTGCCATCTCTGTCATTTTAGCTCTGCTGAGTTTATTTTAAACCGTAGTAGTTAGACTGCATTGGATTTGTTCTACCTATGTATTGACTACACCACGTTTCTGGATCGCCTCGTAAAACGGTTTCCTAAGGGTGCTAGTGATTTAGTGGTTATGTCGTGTGTCACTGGAATTCGTTTTCAACCCGGTGTATATATATATATATACATATATATATATATGATGCTCACTTTAAGGCAAATTTATAGGGAAGCATGACTTTGCTCTAAGATTATCCTGAATCGCTGTCGCCCAGGAAACAAGATCAGCGGCGGTGCCCATCCGGTTTCCTTGCATTCGAGCCGCACTGTGAGTCAAACCTATCACTGTGATTATTATACCACCCTCCACCAGAATGTTGGCGAATGTAGGTGACCATTCCCTTCCACATGAATTACTCTGGAACTGAAACAGATCGAAATGGTTCATTAGTTTCTGGTCGTAATAATTTGCGGCGCTACGAGTTGTTACTACTGTGAGGTAACCTACTGAGGTAGAGTTAGACTTCCCTCTGTTAAAATATTCACGATTTTTCATTTCGACTGCAGGGTCCTTTTCCGTTTCTTAATTAACCAATTAAGGGAATATGCAAAGCAACGAGAGCGCTATGCTTCCGAAATAACGGCCCATTTATACTGTATCCAATGTCCACCGAACTGATGGGTCGACCGTGTTGTCCTCAAAGCAATGACATTTACATAGGAGAACTCCGTTTTTTGGTTGAGGAGGACAGAATACAGACTGATATAGCGGAGTTAAACGTACTTTGAAGATTTTGGTTGTCTGTATGAATGAGGAAAACTATACCGTCAGTTCGTCACAGGATACGAACTGCATCACCAGAAAACAATTTGCCTGGGAACCGTCTGCCACCGAAAAACTGAGCCGATTGTGTTGATCAGCTTGTGTAACACTGATCTCGTTCGTCTTTCATGACTTTTCCGGACACGTTCCTAATCGATTTTCGTGCTTTGCATTCCGGCCTGCCATCGATTTGATTCACGAATATTGTCTGTCATCTCGCCCTCTCAGCTCTTGTCACTATCAGTTGCATTCATTATTACTACCATCAAAGATTGTCCCACGGGATTACTGAAATTAAATAATACAATGGAAACCCTGAATCACTTGAATTCTTTTTACTTACGAAACAAGAATATCTAATTCTAGAGGTTTTAGCTCTTTGATCTGATCTCTCCAGTTACATCCAGTTTTTAAGAGGGACCTGTTTTCTCACTTCATGTATCATTCAGATCGACTGATCACTTGACCAATTCCCACAGTCCTTCATTGAGAACATCCAGCATATATATGATCTACCTAGTGGTGAGAGTTGACGTAGTAGTAACACCATCTGACATCTTAAAGTGTTTGGAACGTGTTTTGTTTCTTGCAAATCCAACAGTATGTGTTGGCAAAGTAGGTGAGCGAGCTGATGTCGTCTGGCGTTATACGCTGGAAAACACGCATACACAAGCTGTAATACTCACAAAATGATAAAAAAAAATCGTTCAGCTGTAGCACCCTTCCGGTGCCTAACTATCATGCTACCCGAAGGAAGCACGAGGGCTGGGATACTGCCAGGTTGCCCAAGCCTAGATAGGGAAAGTCGAGAGGCAGAGGTCGGGTTCGAACCACGGACCGGTAGGTAAGTAAATTCGCGCTCTAACCACTTGGGCCACCTCGACTTCCGTTCACTGGTTTATCTGTCCGGTGCTTAAGTGGCCAATACACACGTAATCGCTTGAGCTTGCTTGTTGCATATTGTAGACCAGAACCGCCCCCCAACATAGCGCACTGCCAGCGTAAATGCGCGCAGTGGAATTTCGTCGCGGTCATCTGACGTCACCGGACAAATAATCGAATACACTCACGGTTACATTATTATCTGTGTAAAAGTGCCTAAAGCTCTGATTAACAATGAATGCGATTGCGGAAAATAGCAACCAGAACCAGGTGATTCCACATAATCAGTTCATAGGATCGCTCGATTTCTGAAAAAAAACTGGTATCCGAACATGGATATAGTTCAAAGTAACTAATATGAATACGTTAGTCGATCAAGTTTCATGATAAACTTTATGTGCACAGCTTTTTTGATACTGGTCGATCAGCACAAATTGTGCACATTGACTTTCAAACTGACTTCCCCCGTTCCCGGCGTATTCACAGCCCTCAAGAAGGACCGGATAACTACCAGGATATGGGCCTTGAGTCTTCACAAGAGATAGTAATAAAGCAGGAGTTGCAATTTTTATCTTAATTGGAAGCCACGATCCGATATTCTGGTTGAAGTTTCACACTCAACCGAACGGCAATTGGTCGCTCAATTTATTTGTGACCGCAGTGTATGAGTTTAGCACGCACGCCAAAATTTACTAGGAGTCTAACTGATGAGAATCGATAGTATGAGATGTGGGAATTCTTCAATCTAGTGAAGTCAACATGTGCTGCAAAACCTAGAATTACAGTGCATCCGTTTCGTTCCTGTGGCGAATCGTCAGCAGTACGTGGCTCACGAATCTCCAGGGGGAATCGAATCCGCAACCTTCCGGCTGGTAGTTGAAAGCTAAACGGCTCGACAACGAGCGATGGATCAGTAGTCTCGTTATCTCGCTTGGGCAGGATATCAACACTTGTCAAGAAATCCAAGTCCACGGCTTGGTACTTATAAGATCCTCTTCGATGATAGGTTAGGAACTTTTCAGCGCACCTAAAAAATCGAGCAAACCTTTTCATATTCATGCACACCATGTGCACAAGCGAGACGCGCGACCGCCCGAATAGTAGACGGTCAACTCTTGCCACATCCACCTTAATGGATCCAATCTGGATGAGGTATTTACTGGCTTGATTTTCCAGGACTTACCTTTCTGCCTTATGAGTAAGCCTATTTTCTGTAGCGTTGCCACTGAAGAGATAGAGTCTAGGTGTTAACGTCAGTGGTTATGTGAATTACTGCTTGTGCCGCGATTACTGATAGGCCGTATTTTATGCTTTCAAACCTCACAGGGAGCAATTTGCGACTTCTGCGAAGGTTGGGTTTGTCACAGTTCCAACTGCATCAACACACACTGCTGTGGTTGTCCAATGAGAGATGCTGTGTGCATTGAATGCGATCGAACTTGGCAAGAGCATGGTGGTCGAATGTTTGAATGCGCCTATTGTCAGCGGACACTGTGTGAGGACGATCAGTTCGAGCATCAGGTGAGTGGAACTGTGGTAATCCTACGTCCTCATCGTTACATTCAATACATTGCCTGTTTTTATTCAATATCCACTGCTGTGGCTGCTTGATATCATAGCTGAAACTACTCCAAATTGTTAACGAAAGAATAAAGTGTCCATCGAGCGGTTGACCGCACTTGTGTGCATTGTACTCTTCCAGTTGAACCACCTGACCATCGCATGTGTTTGGGCATCAGTAACTGGTCTTTATGCTCCGAAAAATATCCGAATATCTAGCCGCTACATCCATCAGCTTGTTGGCTTTTATCGATTTTTCGTTTCGAAGACCCTCGTCGCAATGTGCATTTCTGCACTATGCTATCGGTAAAAGCAGCAAACGGGGTTCTGTTTGCAAAAAAAGTGATTGGTGGTATCCCCCACAACTGAAATATCGGGACAGCCCTTGATGTTTACCTCAAACGAACTGAAGTTGGCGAATCTTTATACTAAGTTCTTGGGACAAGCTATGAACAAAATAATTAGAATCAAAGAATTCACAAATGTGGCATTATCACATATCACTCGTTTCTTGTATCCTGCCACTTTAACAATCGTGTCCTCCGTTGTTTTTTTGCACAGGCTAGTTGTCAGCGTCTCGAGGCTGAAAGCTACAAATGTCCCTCCTGCAACCGTCTTGGTAGCAACACGTGTCTGCGTTGCAAAGTGACTTTCTGTGACGACCATGCGAAGCGCAAAGGAGTTAAATATGAACGTGGAAAGGCGATCCCCTGTCCCAAATGTGGTCACGGCCTAACGGATAGCTACAGTCTCAGTGTATCAAGTAAGGACTTAATACTCTATCTTTTGTTGTTTCCTGGCTAGTAGTGTTCATATAGAAAGGCGTTACACAATATTTTGGCCGATTGCTTTTGAGGAATTTTTCTCACCGCATAGTACGTTGCAGAAGCTAGGTATGTTCAATCGTCGTTAGTGGTATACTAAGTAAACCTGTGCACAAGCCTCACCATGTATATGGCTGGCTGGCATCCAATATGGATTTACCCGTCAACCATGATTAGACTACATCTGTGCATAGCCCACGATAATGCGATGGGATGTTGTCCGATTCAGTCGCAGAAGGAAAAGACTGTGAGCAAACTTGCAAAAGCCTATTGAGAGCCATCAGAGGGTTTAAGCCCGTTGATGTTACAAAGGAGATGAGCACCACACTCAACAGTGAGTTACTGGTGCAATATTGTACTCCGTAGTTGTTGGTATGGGTTTTCTGGCAGGCATACATACTCCTGGGGACTGCCAATCATGCCCAGTCACAGTCAAATTATGTACCACAGAAGAAACAGCACTCGTTAATTGGGGCTCTCCATCTGTAACAGATAGCCACATGACCCAAATGAATTAATGACTGACTTGCGGTTGGTGGCACCCCAGTGACTCGTGTGATAATTTGTGCACAAGTTCGTACTGACCATGAACATTATCCATAGGCTGACCAGCAACCCTAAATATACACGCCAACTAGAGGGTCCTCAACGAACGAAGAGAAATACACGCCAAATATGTTTCCCATGTTTAGTCGACTAACTCGGGCGTTCACATCGCCTGCCACGGTGGCCGTATCCGTTCTTGCTGACTGAAGCAATCGTGACAGACCTAGATAGAGTACGTGTTTCGAAACTTCGAAATTGCGGTCTCTCGGGCCTGTGCTAATACAACAAACAGCACCGATTGCTGCATCTACCCGCTTTGTTTGAGCCAGACAATCGTGCAGCTCAAAACGACACTTCACTGGAATCTAGTCCCACAAAGCGCCTCCAACCCCGGAGATGAGTGCGACTCCGAAACCATAGAAACCACGAACCGCCGGATTAACGGAAAATTATGGTAATCATAATGGTCCAGCTGTAGCACCCTTTCGGTGACATGCCACTCGAAGAAAGCGGGATTGTGAGATACTGTCAGGTTGCCCAAGCCTAGACGGAAGTCGAGATCGAACCACGGACCTTCCGGTCAGTAAATTCGCGCTCTAACCACAGCCATCTCGCCCAACCCCCGCCATATCGAAGACTGAAACATCCTGGCCCATCCTAAGCGGTTTGAGGCGAATGAACGAAGTGAGCTCTTGTATGCGTGTTAAGGAGACAACATATCTCCACAGAAAGGGGAAACAAGGTTCCTGCAACAGGTGTCTGTTGCCAAATCTGACTGTGTTCGAAGGATGCAAGATATCATTTTGGTTTGTATTTTGGGCGATAGTGTAGGCACAGAACAATTGCTACGAGACTGACATATGGCTTGACAACAGTGCATCATTTAGCCGGCGGATAGGGGCTGTAAATGAGGGTCAGTTAACGAATAACTGCAAGGAAGAATGATACTTCTCGGTTGCCCACACCGACAGTGCAATGCCCCATCTAAGGCCTTCGACTCTAAAGTCTGAACCACAGTGCATTGGTATAACGTAGGGCTTTGTTCGGGGACCCTTTCCCTAGCATCTGACCCACTTGACTGTGGGAACCCGGCCTGGCCCGAGGGTGAGGCATGACTGTTTGACTTCTAATACGGCTGCGCACAGCGTCTACTCTCTGAGCGGCATCAGAATGAGGTCTCCAACTTATCTCGGCTATACTGAATAACGCGCCGGCGGTTGTGACCAGCCGTTGGGCCATGGGAGTGTGCGTATTTCGGAACCGACCGTTTTTAACCCGTTCCCTGAGGTAAGATGGCATCGCCGCCTCCATCAATATGCACGTGTTGGTCGCCTGAACAAGACGCATTAGCGCCTTCAGACTCCTATCGCAGTGGACAATACGACTTCACCTGCGGAAGGTCTCGTAGTACAAGTTCTCACGGTACGGTAGCCCACTGTTCTTCGTCGAGCTGTTTCCCATAGGCTTTCCGACACTGTTGGACCTTGGGGAGCTGAATTCCACCCAGCGCTGAAACCTAACAAACACAAAGTAACAGTTCTGATTCGGTTGGCGGTTTGCAGACGACAGGCACTTCGGCCAATGGTTTACCTTGATTTTATGAATTAAAAGTAAACTTGAAAAGCGATGGACCACGTGTCCTAGAGGGAACTTTTAATGGCTCTGTGGGACAGTCAGGTTTCGGACATTTCTTGCTTTTTGACAATTAGTAAACCCTCATTACTTTCCAGGCCCTTCTTCCAAAATAAAATCCGGATTGATGTATGTTGGGGTCGGGGTAAGGTGGATGGGCTAAGTGTTGGATGGACTCGAGTCTTTGGCATAGTTGTCCACTTTTAAAACTTGCGCTATTGGTAGACGAGTCTTGCAATGGCGCTCATCTGAGCACTTCTTGTCCAGAATGTTGGGATATGAGTTGAGGTTACAGCTTCAGTGCTTGCAGACAAGAAGCAGGTCTCTTCTGTATGTAGTACGCGGTTCTTACAGCTGACAATGATGATGATGATGAGTACTCTCATTATATTTCGCCTCGCAGAACAAAGTTTCCTTGGTTGTACGACAGTTTCATTGCTAGTGTTGCTATCCGTGAAGAGGACGTCTGCCTCTAAAATATACTTCGGTCCCTGTCAAAAGCACCTCGTTCTTTGTTGGTCGTTCTTATCGAAATGCCGTTATAATTTCAGGACTTAGTAAACGATCGGTTGTTTTATTTACGACTTTTTTCGATGGTTTCATATGTATAACCTTTCTTTCCACAGCACGATCCTACGAATATGGCCGACAAACATGCCCCGACGAAGATTCGGATAACGAGGGAAATTATTATTACTCCGGGTTCTCAAGTATGGCTGACAACCGATCATCAGCGGAAGAGGATGACCCATCTACGGAATCTGATAAGACCAGTACCGATGAATCGGACAAAAGTGACACCGAAACCTGTGGAGAAACTGTTCGGCTAAAACAATTGGAATTAAATGCCGATTGAATCTGTGATTAATGCCGCCTTTAGCAATGTGCCAGCCCGCGTGTATAAAAACAACTTGCTTCTTATGACAATTTTTTTGGAAGATAGTCGCAGAACAATGCAAATAGAGCAAAAGCGGATAGGATTAAGGTAAATCAATGTTAAAGCGGAGCATGAGAGAGGAAGTGAGGGGTGATGAACGAATTTGTTGAATTTCGACGCTGCGAATCCGGGATGGCGGTACACCCTATCATTCTATGACTTCCACATAATTGCCCGGAAACAGGCCAGTTATACCATTCATAATTCCTTCCCACCATCCGTCATCGTTCTTCTTCATCACATAGATTACTTGGTTTTCGGTAAATGTCAGCTCGTCATCCTTATCACGCACATACTCGTACAGAGTTATCACTGAAAAGGGAAACAAATGGATGAAAATTGACTATGGTCATCACAGGTAGCCACGGATGCAAGCGATCGATCACAAGACAGCAGCACGCAAGAGAATGTTAACTCAAAAAGCCTCAGCAGGGACATTCTGGCCCCAATTACCGCTAGAAACCCAAATGTGGAAGTTGTGGGTACGATAGATACCGATAGCCAAATCTGTAGTTTGACAATCCCTCAAAACGGTAACCCAATTGCATGCAATGAACTGTCTCCCGGGAAGGTTTATCTACACGACACAGGAGATAAAGGGTTTATGATGCACTGACAAGTTTAATGATTGCCTAACGTATCTTAGGAGTAAGAAGTTCTATTACTTGATTGACACAACAGTCTTGTGGCAACTGAAAGAAACATATCCTTCATCTTTTCACAGAAAGCTCGATATAACGACTGACACCGTGTCTGCAGCTAACTGCTTGGCCACCTAAATACCAATATGAACTTTTCCTTCCATTCACCGGTGTGATAGCTGTTTATTCTATACCGTTCAAACTTCGCTTATTGTCAAGACGACAAAATTTTCTCAGGGAAGTTCAAGGGAGGGAAGGCAGGAGCCGTATCGGAGTTGAACCACTCGAATCTAAGGAATGGAAGACTAAACCTGAAGAAGATACTTAGTACTACAAACAACCGGGGGAGTCCACTCGATTATTGTCACCAGTTGTAAGGACCGCGTACTTGTCGTACGTGGTTTGTAGCTGCCACAGTTTCCTTCACCGATGATTTGGGAAGGTGGGGTGAGTAGCTGCGCATTGGAGGCGGGAGCTGATAAATTGGTGAGTAAATATAGGACCATTAGTAGACCGTTTAGTGGGGGTGGGTGGGAAGGGAGCTAAGCATCGGAGACAATAACTTGGATGCTGCTGGGTCTTGAAATGAATGGGAGATTATTTCTTTAAACTCAGGCTGCCTTGGCCCAAAGGTCCATTGCGTTGCCATGCCTAACCTCTGGAGCTGGAGCGGGCATCCAATGGAGAAAACTTCCGAAGCTGAAATCTGTGGGTGGATAACCAAAGAAAAGAACTACTATATGTGGTAACGCTCTGAAACATTACAAACTTTAAGGACGCATCCACCTAGTTAGAACTGAGTTTATCGGCAAAAAGCTCTTAGTCTTCTTAACCCAATACTACTAGTTCAATTTCTCTACTGCCACGGAGGCACTGTTTGGGGAACGCAACTGCCCAAACGTTCGACCACATCTAGGGGTAGGAAGTACTATACCCCAGACACGCAGTTTGTTGATTTGGGAAGAAGTGCTACCACTCAGCACGCTCTCCCGAGATACGCCTGCATAGCAGTAATGCGGATATTGTTTCTAGGCCTAAATTGTGAGCGGACGAGTCATACGTTCCCATGCTATCAGAAGTCGTCAACCTCCAGAAACAAACAATTCAATCTAGAACCTATCTCATTTGACCATTATATGCGACCTCAAGAGCTTATCCATCTTCATTTAGTTGTTGGGTTTTAGGAAGTGGTGCAACACATTGTACGAGAACGTTTCTCGATGAGACGAGATCGGGATGGTACTCAGTAATCCAGTTTCCTCTCAGTATGTTGTAATTCGCACGTAAGACGGTATCTGGTAAACGGTCAAAGTGTAGATAACAACGATCGAGAAACCGAGGGCAGAGAAACTGTGTGCCCTTCTACGGAGAGCTCGGGTCTCCACTACTGTTCTATTTCAAATTTCACAATGCCAGTGTCCCCATACGGGACCCGAGTGATACCAGTGTCTCCATCAGAGGTTTGGTGTCACTTTGCGTCGCACTCCGACTGGAGTACTGTATTCTCTATGTTCTTTCTCGAGCGACGGCGCACGCGTTGAGCAACGTTTCACGTTTAGAAAGTAAATGTACCGGTCATGTACTACAAGCAGACCGGACAAGCCAATGCTGAATTGATAGACGGTTATGTGGAGTGCCTTCACATGTAGCATCTTGTGAAAAAGGATCGACTTTGTACATCTCAGAGCAGCGACTGTCATTCCAGCAGGGTAATATCAACCAACTCCGAGTAACTTGCCTCCTTAGTTCTTTTCTCTGAGGAACGAGTTATTCAGCTGATTGCTTCGAATGGAGCTAACTAGAGCGGTCTGGATGTCTGCAGACCTCTGTACCCAATTGGCAAATCATATGGAATCGAGGTCATACGGGTAATCTTGGACAGCGTCCACAGTCTCTCACCTGGTACAAAGGGCGGTTATTGGTTCGATTTCAGCTCTGGGCTTACGTTTTTGGGTACGGACTTTTCTACTTTGCGCTGAAGAATTAACCGCTGTACCTGTAAATATACGTATATCCTTCTAGGAGCGAAAAATTACTTAGCATTTTACCGAAGGACCGGATACCACGCCAATACATTACACAATACATTACACAATAGTCATCAACGGCTCCGGGTGGAGTTAGGACTGTACATTGGCGAAATAAAAATTCCAGTCACTAACCTTTCTCCATATAAAATTCAGGAGCCCAGGCTGGATCAGTCAACTTTCGAGCAATTAAGCCGGCCCCACCGGCAGGTCCTAAAGGCGCATGACTAGAAGGCATTTGAGGTTCAGGTGGATTAAAGTGCTGTGAATACGTGGCTGCGGAACCTGCATAAGCCTCCGGTGGTGGCAAGGGCACGTGTTCTGTGCTGTCCAATGAAGTCGGAGACGAATGCGTAGCGTGTGGATCCGAGATCTGTGGGTGTGTTGGCTCTGCGGATGACACATCAGGCATGGGCATCTGTCGGGAAAAAAACTCGATTAGGTTTTGTCCAATACCCCCATGTAAACACTTGAGAATAAGGTAGCAAAAACGTAAGGCTCGTCGACATACAGTGTTTTCATGCATTGGTAATCTCCGCCAAAAATTAAATGACTACCCAATTGTTGACGCGCAACATCCGTGAATCCACTTAGAAGCTATATGGACGAGGCCAGGGAGTGATTCGGCACTTTCAGAGGGCACACAGACGGGGAGAGAGATCGCACAATTAACGTAACAAAATGATGAGAAGTGACTTTAGGGAAAGGATCCCTTTTTACATTATTTTATCCCGATGATTGATCGCCGGATAAAAGTATAAAAGATACGCCTATAAAGGTATGCGCCTGTATCCAGTCTTTGAAAGTAGTTCAACTGCTGTCTTCTGCGGGTTAGGCGCGACGAAACAAACCTCGAGGCAACCATCGTACTGAATTCCTCGAACCACAGCACGCTGATATTTAGGTACGCTGAACAGACTGTAGGCCCATTGCTCAGTATCTACCATCTAATGTTCAGTTTGGTGATATGATGAAATAATGGTAGCTCGGGTGAGTTTAGTGGCTGTTGACCTGTTCGCCGAGCTTGGCAATTGGCTTGCAAACGTTTCGTCACCATACGAGGAGGCATCATTAGTACGCACTGACGATGATGAGGAAATGGCGTTTTTACGAATAGCAGAGCATCGGATATCTAGAGGATCATTTTAATATCATTAGCACAAATAAAAAATCATAATCATACTATGACTAATCTGCAGAATTGAGATACGTGTTGCTCTCTAGGCCCCAAACTCAACACCACTGGTTTGGTATCGTTTGACGTAGGATAGCGATTACCAGTAATATGATTGTCGCATGCAACTGTGCAACCCGTTGAAAACGTGAACCAGTTCACTGTAAAGGCCTAGGCCGAAATGTGAGTAAGGTGACTGACACTGAGTTCACTTGAGAAAGTGGTCAATCACCGAAATAACAAAGCCACTTGTCTCAGACTATATATCTCCAATATTGGTATCTTATTTAGGATTGACTGTACTGATTTACTTCATCGCCGTAGTGCAGACTGCGGTTTCCAAAGCATTCGGGTATGGTTATCCTCAAGAAGACCTTTGAGTTGGTTTAATGGTGTTAGTTGACGTCTATGGCACAGATACATGGGTGAGTGAGTGTTATTAAAATACCTTTTCCAACTGAATCACCAAACCCTTCAGGCAGTAAAGTGTGCGCACAAAATGCTTTGAATAACTTGTTCGCGAAACACACTCATTTTCATGCCAATTTGGTTTGACAAGAGACTCACCTGGAACCCAAGTATATCTCTCGTTTACGGTGTTTTCAGGTGAGTCTTCTGTCAAAATCGAATTGGTAAGCAAATGAGTGTTGCGCTAATTTGGTACAATTCGGGTTCACGTAGAACCTAAGATTGATTGATCGGGGACTGTGCCTACCTTACAAGCCCCCCGGAAGAGCTAAACCAGTCCTCCTTACAAGCCCCCCGGAAGGGCGAAACCAGTCATAGGCTGTTGAAGAGCTTTCAGCAACCTTATGCGTAGTGCATTACGTTCAGGTCATTTTATACCTTGGAGTACCGTCATTCTTGCTCCACAGACAAACAACGTTGGAGATCGCACTTCTTCTCTTTACTTTATGGCAACTGCCTTATGAAGAATCAACCAGCCCTAATGAGAGCAGGTGATATGAAGCGCTAAAGGTTTATAAATGCATCGGGATCGAATGCGAGGGGACACTGGTCACATAATCCACAAATCATGATGGAATCTCCGGAGAATTGAAGCACGATGCAATTGGAAGGACTGGATAACTCTGCAGAGGGCCGAAAAATGTGAATTAGTAACAACTCACCTGGGCTGACGGTTGGACTTGCTCGGCATAAGGTCGAGTTCCCGAGTGTGAAGTAGCTGTGGGTGGGATGGTTACTTGAACGGGATTGTGTTGCATATACTGCGGGGTTTGTTGAGCTGATTGGTATCGCTGTTCAGCGTACTGCTGCTGCTGGATCGTGAATTCTGCATGACTGGATGCGGGTATAGAGTGACCGGGATGTCCTTGACTAACTGATAACGCCGAGTTAGAAACAGGATATTGTTGTTGCGGTTGCGACATTCGTGTTTGCATCGGAATGCTTTGGTCAACAAACTGACCAGGAAGCTGAGAGATGGCTGGATTTACCTGGAACATCCACAGAAAAGTCATTACGAAAAACGTGGATGCTATGGGGATGGAAAACGGAATGGGAACCACTACAATATATCCTACACGTTTCTTCCGGGTACGAATGTGAAGCGGTTGAACCTAGGTCCATGAATTATCCCTGAATTACTCTTTACAGTACTCCGTTCAAGTGCACTTGCGATGAAAACCATAAGGTAAATATTAGACACCAGACGGAACCTAGTGGTCGACGTTAGGTACACTATAAAGCGAACTCTTCTCAGATCGCTTGGTTTGTTTACCAAATCATGAATGACAAACTGGTACTGCTCAATAAAGTGGCACCACGAAGACAAAATGCAGCTCTTCTATATCGGGCAACCACGTCAGCTTAGTTGGGAAAACTGTCGTGATCAGAACAAAAGGACCGGGGCGAGATAGCCCAAGTGGTTAGAGCGCGAATCTACTGACCGGAAGGTCCATGGTTCGAACCTGACCTCTAACCCTCGAATTCCCCTGTCTAGGCTTGGACAACCAGCCGGTATACCAGCCCTCGTGCAACCTTCGGGTGGCATGGCAGTTAGGCATCAAAAAGGTGCTACAGCTGAACGATTTATTTTACAGAAGGACCGAGAGGATAGTAGCCTGTCACAGATACCCCAAATGTGTCACAAGTTAAATAAAGACCGGCAGCGTAAGAAGCATTGAGATTAGGTTTTCAGCATTTTTAGACAAGCACAAGTTCTTTATCCTGGAGGGAACGTAGTATTTTTCGTTTCCTTACGTTACTTTGCTCACTCATTGATTTTCAGCACTCCGAGTCTGGGTGGGGAAATATTAACAATCTCGGTAAAGAATAGCTCGACATGCGCAGTATGTGATCAGGTCACAGTGGTCTGTCGCGCTGGATACAATCCCGAGGTGAGGCACCTGCTGCGCCGCCGAACATTTCTTTGACATCAGATAAGGGTGAAGTTGTTGGCCCTGAGACATCAGTTAGCGAAAACCTGAAAAGCACCCACGAGGAGAGGCTGTGACGTTAAATGCGCAGCAATTTATCGCCGTGAACAGCTGCCGAAACGCTACGATAACTGGGCAGTGCAACCACAGTTCACTTACTCGGAAATAGTACGGTGTGTGCAAAAAACGGAGCATTCTCGATTGGTGTGCAACTGAGCAGTAGTATGCCACCAAGAGTTGCCTGGACAAGATAAACTCAGGGATGTCACCTTTTCTGCGAGACGATCAAGATACAACTGAGAAATAACGTTGGTGTATAGGGTGAGAAAAACGTCGAAATGAGAGAGGTGAGATGAAGTTCCAGCCACCTAGTCCTGGGCGATGGTCTTCGTCTCATCAGTGTTGAATGCTGATGTGCTGGCGATAATGATGACATCATCTCGGATGGTGTTCTTATCCTATATGTATACCCCAATCTTAGCACAAGCTAGCTGAACGGTTTCAGAGGTGACTGTTTCCCTCCCAGTAACACTAGTTCCAGCTACTTTACACATGCTATTCCGTGTTTGCAAAGAAAGTATCTGTTGGGAACCAGTACATAATTAGCGACTTACAGAGGAGAAAACTAACCGTGTGTAACTGAACGTTACCGTCATCCCTTGAACTGCGGCTACTTGGTTTTACGGTCCCTAAGTCCTGGTTAGAAAGAGCTGGAATAGACTTTGAATTATTACCGAATAAATTAAGTGGAGACGCACATTGGAAGAGCGATCCCGAAAACGATTGAAACGCTTCAGGATATGGTTGGATTTGCACCAATGCGGCATAAAGTGTGTGTGTGTGTGTGTGAACATGATGGTGTGATGAACAACACGGACTACATTCCAGAAAGAAACCCTTAGTAGCACATTTCAGTCGAATGTCAAGAAACTAAAAGCAAAAGGATCAATGCTCAGAAGTCTGGGAATCAAGGAACAGCAACAAATAGTGGAAAGGTTGAAGGCCTGGCTGGTAATACCGCGAGAGAACCATTTGGGACGACAGAATTTTTAGCTCATAGTAGGCGGGCTGGCTCATAAGCCGGACCACAAGACAGCGATGTTTGGTTGGAAATACAAACGCACTACCATCTTATAGAGGTCACCACACGTGTTCCAAACCCCGTCCTGCAGAACCGAGACTGTGTCGGCTAGGCTTCTAACCATTGACTGCGAAAGTCGCATGGACACTCACCTTCACTACAGCTCAGTGGGCCAAGTAACCACAAACTGTCATAAGAAGGCGACTCCAATAAAACATTCGTTTTGATTACCCGATCCTGACGGATGACAGAATACACGGCTCCCATAGGGATGGACAAACAAATGGGAGAATCGAGACTTAAAAAAAGAGACAAGGCGGCTAAAGGTAACATAAACGGAATGGAAAACCAAAGTTACCAGCACTGAATGCTTTGAATTTGTGTATGGCCGCTTGAAAATGCAACCGGGTTATACATAACCCAACATCCTAAAGGATCTGATCGCCCCTTCGAACAGATTTGGGGTTTTTGCAAAATATTTGAGATAGGTGTACATGTGAAAGAATAAGGTTCACGCAAACCGATCTGAAACCTTATTGCAGCCTGAGAAATCTAACCAGAGTTATTGTCACAGGCATTAGGACAAGTCGCAGCATCTTTGTAAACGAGCTTATCGACCGTGGAATGATCTTAACGAAATCACATACTCGTATGGACAGGTAGTAAGGTATGCTGCAGTGAACGTGACACACTTCCCGACCGCGAATAGCTGGACGGGACAACTGTCGATTCCACATATTGTATGACGGTGTTGAACACATCTTGGTTTGAACTCGTACGAGATGTGCGCCTGAGACAACAATTGTCGGCTATAAACACCTTGTTAAACCCTGCGTTTGCTATTGTTACAACAGTTTCACAATTACATTTCAACTACAAGTAAACTGGATGCTGATGATCAGAATAAGTATATGCAGATAATCCTGAACGACGGGGCAAAGGAAAATGATATGTACAAAACCTATGGTTTCCAACGGCCGCTGGCAATTTCAGACAACTATGGGACAAATGATGAATAGTGTGAGTGGTCATCAAACCTAGCGGAGGCGCTGGTGATTGCCGAGATATGGGTTAAATCCTGACTGGATGTTGTGGTAAGGACGAGATCTAGCTCGGAAAAGTTTAGAAGCACGAGCCTTGTCGTTCTTAGTGGGACTCGTCAGATAAGTGTAAAGGGATCGACCCTTCAGAAAAAGGCCTAAAAACACCAACCACACACACTAGGACCACATGATGAGCGAAAACAAGAGGATGATCTGCATACGTGGTTAATCCTCGGATCCCACATAAAGCTATCGAATGATATCAATGATTTAATTAGAATGAAAAGGCAATGAGCAACTTAGGTTCTGGTACGATTCGGCAGGTAAGTGTTATTTTCGCCAACTCATGTGAACTTGTTACCTTCTGACGACTGAACCTGGAAATCAGGTTCAAAAAGTTCCGATGAATCCAGCGTTTTTATAGCCACGTACAGTGATGTGATTGTTGAACTCAACCGTAAAGCCAAACACTGTACTAATACTGCTCGTTCATGGGACATAAACTACTCTGGTTATGAATGAATGCAACCCTACGCAAAGCAAAACTACAGAGTCAAAATTCTCACTTATTCAAATTCCTCAAACTAGGCACGCATCAAGAGACCCCAATTTAATTCACTTAAGAACTTCGACTACACTAGAAAAACTCTTCTCAAAAAGATACAGTACTCCGCTTGTCACAAATTCAGGTTTTAAGTTGAACTTATCTGGCACCCCGTTAGTACGAACGATTTTCGTACCAATCAGTTTGCCCACAAAACTGCTCTGAAGTAGAGCAAGAACGACCCAGAAAGACGTTTTGAGCCCACCTTGGATCACCTTGTTTGGAAGTAGATGCCAGCAGTTAAGTCGCTCCAACTAGGTACACCCGGTCGACAGAGCTCCTGACCGACGGCAAAGTCTTACTGCGTAAATTTAGGCAACCGGGCGGTATCCCAGTCCTCAAGCTCCTTTTCAATAGATAGGAGCTAAACACCGAATACCGAACCTTCGATGGATTGGATAGGTAGACCAAAGGTAGGCATGTGGAGCTAAATTGGGTGGTCTCGGTTAACTGTCGTACCCAACAACCATCAAGGGAACTCAGCAGCAGCTATCCGCACGTTCTGGAAACAGCTTTTTGTTAGACTGCAGGTTGGGGAAATACTCAAATAGGATAGTATTGCTTTATAATAGACATTAAGCGAACTTCGCAAAACGTGATAGCTTTGAAAATGATTGCCCTGACGTAGATAACTGGGAATTAATCCCTCCCCCACGGTAAAAATAATGTACCTTAATATGCTGCATATGCGGCTGACTGATTGGCGCTGTTGACTGTAGATAGCCTTGGTGAACCTGATGGTTCATCGGATACTGTCCTACGACGCTGGATGATCCACTGGAACGACCAGACTGGTTGGCAACTAAAGCGGCGGCGCTTGTCACATCTATCGATGTTTGGGCAGCTGCCATAGCTTCACTACCCGCAGCGTAGCCGACAGAAGACAACTGTCCGGACACTGGACTGCTACCGCTCCCTCCGGAATGCTGATGTGGCGTTGCGCTACTCATGGCCCCCATCAGATGATGCGGAGGAACACCCGTCGTTCGATATATTCCAGCGGTGCGACCGACAGTGCCAGCTGAAAGAAAAACCAACGGGTTTCGTAAACCCTCATCAGGATTCAGACTTAATCAATGTGCATTTAAAACTTGGATATTGACTGAAGACAGTCCGATAGATAAAAGCGCCACTTTGCCTAGTATCTGTTACTCTAAATGGACACTCGTTTCAGAACGTCCGCATCTCCACACATGCATTGCAAGCTGCTAGCCAGCGTGCGGCAAAATGACAACGCTATAGCCGTGATCAATATATACGGTTTGGATCGCCTCTAAATTCCAGCAGTAATCGTTCATGTGCAACAATCTTTCGGTGTCTAGCTACCATGCCACTCGAAGGAAGCTCGAGGGCTGGAATACTGCCAGGTTGCCCATGACTAGACAAAAGGAGGCCAGGTGAAGAGGTCGGATTCTAACCACTGAAGCAACACAGTGCAACATATCTTTACCGTTCGATGATTGGGGTACCTTGTGTGAACCCACGAAGAGGACCAAATAAGAACATAAGAACCCCTAATAATATTAACAGATCAAGATGGATCAGTGGTTAAGGCGCGGATTTGGTGACCGGAAGCCCAGTAGTTCGAACCCAACCTCGACTACCCTTGTGTAAGCCTAAATAACCTGGCAGTATATTAGCTTCTTTCTGATGGCATGCATCAGTGTTGTGAAAGGTTGTTCGAGTGGGAAGGCTAGTTTTACGACTATATCATTACATTCAACAGGCACAATTAGCCCATTGGATGGCTCTGACAGTTAAAAGGTACAGGTGCCAAACGAGGAACCGACAATATGACAACCAAACAACTGATTCGGGCAACCACCATATACATCAAACCCAACACACTTTTGTTGACGCACTGACTGGATCTATGTGGTAAAACAACCACAGTAAGACTGCCTCGTCGATTTTGCTTCCCAAGTCAATTTTCAGGGATCAGTTCGCTAAAAAATCGCAGTCAGTTGCAATTTTCCACTGCCAAGCTCTTGTCGGGAAATACAACCTCTAATTTAACTATAATCAGAAGGCACGACAATCCTGAAACAAGACATTTTTTACTCCAGTCATAGGACATTCCTTCCACCGTCGTATGCTGCGGATGAGTGTCGACATTAGATATTCTACCTTTCTTATCAATACGTTGAGGACCTCAAACATAGAAAATCGTCCGAATAGCGCTAGTTGACAGATAGCCAATATTAATTAGCATTTCATTGTACTTCGAAGACATGGTCGATACGGTGCACGTATACATGCACTTTAGGCAGGCGCAGTTGGCCAAGACGCAGAGATACCTTATAATGGTGGTCTTATAATGTACGAGACTGTAATAATGCCCTACTTAGATAGTGTACAAGTGTCTGTTCTTTGGCAAACAAATAAACATGCTGAACATCCCCAAAATTTCACGATACATAACACTCGTCTATATACCCCCATTGGTCCCCTCACAAACAACTACTGCTAGCCAACCCAAATAAGCCTTTCAGCACCCTTAAAGGGAAGGTAATGTCCTTTGAGGAACCCTGTATAAGTAAAAAAACGTTTATAAAAATCCAAAACACTTGCTTTGGTAGCGCACAGTTCCTACGGAACGAACGGGCGCCGCGTACTCAGCACTTGTGTTTGAACCAGCAGTGTGACATGAAATTGTGCGATGTTGACGTCCAACCATACCCTGAACAGTAATCCCAGCCGAAGAACTTCCCCGACGTTGAAGTGTGTCACCTTGAGCAAGGGGTTTTTCATACTGGTTTAAGAGGGGTTCCTGGAACGAAACATTAAGCAGATAAGGTCGCATAACTTCACAACTTTGATTCGCCAAAGTAATTTATCGAAAAGAGATGAAACGATTAATCACCAGTTCCCGAAGACCTTTTGCATCATCATCATAATCGTCGACAGCATGACATCAGTGTCCAACACCGATGCTTCACTGCCGTACAACCATGATTTATTTGAAAGCCTTATGGTAAAGGAAAGCATAAAGACGGACGGGGAAGGGACTCAGAGCTAGCCTACCACAATCATTCTGAGGTGCCTACACCTTCAGACATTCACTCAGACAATATGGATAGAGACGGACAAGAACGCCACTGATATCCTTTGGCAGCCGTAACTTGTAGTGTCCCCAACCAAGCGCAGTGAGGATCACGCGGTCCCCATCCTGGAAGGCGAGTAGCACGACAGCACCCAAGCGTTTCGTGATTCCCATCATACTGTTCTGCCAAGTCAAGGGTTGGCCACCTCTCTGCTTACGCCACTCTAAATTGGGCATGGAAAACAGCACTCTCATCGGCACGATAGCGTGCACGTGATCCTTCGTATATTTTGAGCTTATTCGTCTTTTAAAAAATTCATGAGACTATGCATTAAATGCCGAAATCGTGCCGATACTTCTCCACGTCTCAGCCCGTTGCATGCATGCTCATGCATTTGTTGCGGGACTTCTACATCCCATCACCCATCTGAACTGTGTTAGTCATCAAAATCCCAGTCCGATGCGCTCTTGAAGAGAACAGCCGATAAAATGCCAGCGAAATTCATTGCTAAGTTGCTTCTCGCTGTACTAATAAAGAACCCTTTAGCGTACAATTTCGGTCTTGCTCGCAGAGGTGAAACGGAATTCCCCTTCATCTACCTCATAAATCATAAAATGTGCTCCATATGGGGCATGCTAACGAAATCCACTTCAGGTAAACCTAATACCGACTAGGCAGTGCCACCAGAGCGTCTCAGAAAACAATGTGAATTACTCGATCACAATGTCTACACGTGACATCTGTGACAGGCATACCCACCATTCCAATTGTATACATGTAGTCCCACCCCGAATAACTTTTGTGTTTTCATGAACAGAAGTGGTTAGAAGTATTGTACATACCTGAATGCGCACACCGTGCCCAATAGAATCCAGTATGGAGAAGTCTATTGGCCGTCGAACATACTTGAGAGGAGGTTCTGAGGGTATGTACTCGCGCTGAAAATTTATTGGAACCTTTGGGCTGGTACATGACCCTATTGCTTTTCTAGCGACCTTTTCTTGATGCGTGTTGCAAACCTATGAACATGTGCGCATCATTCACGCCATTTACCATTCGGATTTTCTCCATGCAATCTGAAATTTCTGCAAGCATATCCGACTGCAATTCGACAGCCTCTAAGAAGTGACTGGCAAGTCGGCTGATATGGTAAGCAACAGTGCCAAGTGACTGTGTTGCTAGAGCCATCGTGTTGTCCAACTTTACTGATCTTTGTCCTTTCTGAAATCAAATTGACAATTAAGAATTAATGGTAGATATACTGTGTAATCTTCACTGCAGAATGCTGCAGCCCTTTCAATGTCACAGCTTGCAGCAACCAGAGTAGTCCTCCCATCGGCAAGTTCGCCATCAAGTATAGATAAGAGATTCTTCATGCCTTTAGAATGAAGAGAAACACCTTTTACTGAGCTCAGCATTAGACAGCGCGACGGCGCCGCATTTCGGGTAACGTTCGCCAATCGAATGGACGACGCTTTGTTTAGTCCATTTTTCACTATTAAAGGATTCGATGTATTTCGGGGGTTCACGAATTCATGGATTGATGAACAGGATCGAGGAGCCTGCCCAATCTTTCTGGGTGGGTTTTGTTCCTGCTGTCCAGTGGCTTTTGTTCACCTGAAAGGAAGTGGCGGAAAAGGATGTGGCACTGCTCTTGTATTCCTCATCCCGGAGCAGTACTCGCCGCACGTGAGAAGTACAAGGGCTTTATCTGTAAAACTTCTGCAAGTGGAATAAAATTTTGTGCATCAAGATATTGTATTTTCTTGTATACGTGCGTAGTCTAAAAATCGTTGTATTTAATCTCCCATTCCAAATTTTTGCCCCGTATACGAATGAACTTGTTTAGTTATGGCTTCTGGAGTGACTATATTTGTTTATTGAGAATTTGAGGGCTGTATCCTAATAACCTTTCATGGCGTTTGAGAAGGCGTAAAATGAATTCATGAGGGATAACTACGTGGTATTTGTGCCTCTATCTAGTTACTGAAGCTTTAAAAAACCTTAAGAATGCGTTATTTCAGATGCGGCAGGCGGCCTGCAAGAAGAACGGAAAGTCGAAAAATCCAAAGAAGCTTGCAAGCTGAGCATCTTTTTCATAGTGAAAATCAGTTTGCGAAGCGCCAGCTGTCTAGTGCATTTATTTCAATGGAGGGACGGGATGCGTCTCGTAGTCACCCCTTCTCTCCTGAGCAGAAACACAAGGCTTCTAAGTTTTGTACGACCGTCTTCTGGTTAATCGACGGCTAACCGAGGAGTCGGGTACCTGCATGGCCTGCGGGCCAAGTACCGCGATTAGCGTGATCAGCTCGGTGTGTGTAGGAATTATCATTACACTACTCTCAAATGGCTTCGGCTATCGGGGTTGTGACTGTGTCCATGATAGGAGGGGCTGCTTTTGATGAAGTGAACCTGGAGGCTAGCAGCGTCGCAATTTCCTTGGTTGTGAGCTTCTTGTAATAGTAAACGATGTCGAGGTCAATCCTTTTGCTTGATCTGTTCGTAGACGTCACGCTTGCCTCAGTGCAGCTGACACAATCCAGCTTAGAACTTCTGAACTGTGTGTGGAGTTCACCTCAACACCTTTGTCGTCCGCTGAGGGAATAACCCATGACAATTTCACACATGTTGGACGCTGCGTCCACCGAAGTCTTATCTCCCCACGAGTAAGACTTTGTTGATAATCGGGGTGTGTGTGGCAGTTGAGCAGAGACCGCAGTCCAGGGACGAGGCCGGTTGTGTCGGCACGCTTTCAAGAGCACATGGGTCAACCACTACCATCAGGTTTGCCATAAGCTCGGTGGCGGAACACAGGCCGGCGTAGTGTTCTCTGTGGACTTCAGATAGACAAGTGTATTCCCTGTTTCTGCTTCTCAATGAGGGGAAATTTGATTTATATAACTATGGCATCTCATGTATTTGAACGGCAAACCTCTGATTTTCCGTCGAGGTCCAGTATCGTGGCTTGTTTTCTTGAGTTCTGTTGGTGGATTTCTGACTTACCGAGGTTCGCATTTTACGAAAAGCCTGCTTGACATCTGCGTGACATGTGGTTAAATTTTGGAAGGTAAGTCGAGTCCTCCTTCACAGAATACAGCGAATCTCTTTGGGTAGCTTTTTGCCCATTCTGATGGGCGCTGTATTTCGGGACAAAAACGCGCAAGCCGCGTGAAGTTTCTGGACAACCGTTTTGTGTAACTCCTTCACTGAAGCTGGTCCCAGTTTTAATTATACAGGGAAGCTACTTAATCCTGGGAATCCTGCACGGCAGAAGTTCCGAATCCACCTTGGTGGTTCGTGGTACATGGCCCTGCAGCAACCGAAAATTAAGTTCAGCACTATATCACAGTGTAGCCCTAATTAACTTTCAGTCACGGAAGTGCATTTGGTAAAAACCAAAACCATCAGTAATTGTGGTTATCCTACACGATATCTGATGGGTGTGGCTTGTTGCGACCAAGCACGCTTTTGAAGGGCATTGGTGAGCGCTGACACGCAATGTCCACTAGGCCCGATGCAATGGAGCTCGATCCAAGAAGAGTGTGTTAAAAGTTCGTAAGATGTGTGAGGTGGAGTGTACGGCAGACCACAGCGGGAAGATAGTGAGTCCTATGCAGCTGGATTTGAATTCACAGGGCACCGCAATAAAATGCAGGGGCGGTGCCGAAAGTGAAATTGGTGGTGGGCAGCAACACATACACGTACGAAGAAACCCAACCTGTCCGTACGTTTTGAGTCAGTTCAGAAAATGGCGTAGCCTTCCATCAAAACCTCTACGTTGGATTTCTGAGTTAGATCAGGGAAGGCTGTTCAAGGTGAGCCGACTGTTGAATACCGCATAGTGTGTTGGAGAGCACAAAGCAGCATGTGGTCAAGAAATTCAACGCCATCTCTGTCGTATCCAAAGTTGGGGAACCGAGAGGTGTGTTGCCAGAGAGAACAGCAGATTTTAGAGCTGTATGTGTGGCTTGAGTCCGAGGACTCCGAGAGGCCTTTGCGGTGTATTCGTCCGCTTCCTGCTCTGGCGATTAAGGGAATTGCAGCTCTTTTGCAAGTGGTTTGCCCTCTGAGAGACAGGGTTTCGCGAACCTTTTGTCTTAGGTAAAGGTAGTTTTTACTTTGTGGTCAAAATTTTTGATGGCTGCTGCTTTTAGCCCGTGCATTCCCAAAGTTCGGCACCTGGATTCTTTGTTAATCAGGAACTTGTGAAGAACATGCGTCCGTTTGGTTTCCTGAACTCTCTTGCTGCTAATTATTTTGTTTTATCATCAGTGTGTAAAAGGTCATCCTATGTTTTTTCGTTTCGGTTTTTTGCATGTAGCACTTTCCGTGTTTTTGACATGAAAGTGAACCACTCACTGACCTTGTCATCGCATGTGCTGTTTAAATCAACGAGTAGGGTACGCTGACCGTGTCCTGGACGCACACCCAAAATTCACCTGAAACCGTGATTTGAAAATGGAAAATTTTAACACCAAGTTTTAGCATTTGATTGTAATTACTCGAGTGCATAAGATCTCCACAAGCAACCACAGTCTTCTTAGAAGCCGTTTAAACGAACTCGGAGTCCGCTGTGGGCACGGGATTCGCGTCTTAATGGCTGCCGAAGGCTTTGCCCATCGCCTCTATGAAAAAGGTGGGAAACTTCGTGGATAAGCTGGTTTAATCTCATGTTTTCTTGCGTATTAGATTAGCAAATAATCTCAAAATAATCAGACAATGATCAAGCTGATTACGTTCGCGCAGATTCAAGTTGGAAAGGCCATCCGCAACACGGATATGAATAGTGCTTCTTGGTTGCAGCAAGGGTCTCGCTGAAGCCAAGTAACTCGTCACAGCTGGTAAGTTTTTTGTTTTTTATGGTGATCATCATACGTTTCTTCCGGCTTAAGGCAACGGTTGATCTTCACCGATATGCCGAGCCACCAATAGTGCCATTGGGTTTATGGGCAGAACAAGCAGACGGCGCTATAAGATGACCACTGCTTTCAAGTCCATGGACACAGAAAACGGACTGAAGCGGTCTTGTGGGTGAAACGCTCGTCCGGAAAATACTAGAGATATAGTGAACTACGGACAAGCCATCCGACTGGTTATGGCAGTTGCGGTACCCTCATTGCGACACCTTACTTCGTTTCGTGGATAGCCCTGTACAGGAATAGCTTGGATAAGCGGTTTGTGGTTGTCATTGTAGTAATGGTATTCTTCGGTCTATCGAAGGTTCGTGGTGCTTCTTTGTTGCCATTCAAACGAGGCAATTAGGAAGCCATGTCCACATTGGGGATTCAAAACAGGAAAACGTGTCTTAAGTTTCGCTAGAAAGTGCTTTGATGTTAGTTAGAATGCCACCCCAAATAACAGAGTCAAAAGTTGCCACAGTTCCCAACTACTTCAGTGAGACGGCGCTGTCCGATTTCAAAAACGACAGTCGATATTGACGTGCAGATAATAAGTATGCCGGTAACGTGAACAAGTGGATACATATGTGAGAATGAGGGGCGTGCATTAGCTAGATTGTGCGCAACTTAGGTAGCTCGGAAATTGCACAGATATTAGAGCAGAGATATCTGGCGGCGTTGCCTCTTCGTGCGATTAGCTGACCTCGGAATGGAGCTGTTACAGCTGAAAAAAGCGTCGAGTTTTCCAAAACCAGTTGCCTCTGAGGCGTCACATCACATGTATTTGGCGAGTTTCGTTGCATCTTCTCCTCCTCTATCAATGGATATTTAGGTTCGTATGGCGATTGCTCGGGATGTATACCACAGCAAAGGGGAAGCTTAAACCAGGATCATTTTTCCCTTCCTTCATTACAAAAGGCAGATTATGTGGTTCATCATGCGCGAGGAGTATATTTTTGGGAGAGGGCATGTAGTTGAAGTGAGAGGGATCAACCGTGCAGTCTTTGCATCTTCTTGGACAGGGGGTGCGGAATGGGCGGACATGTTACGGAAATATACGGGGAGCTCCAAAAGCTTTCGTAGACAAAGCGGTGTCCGTCGAGAGAGCCCTTCCTCCATCTTCACTTAATTTCGTGATGAACAAGATCATGAGACGAACGCTGCAATGTCCTTCTGGGCCCGGTTTTCAAATATCCTCTGGCAAAATTCTTGTCGATCTGAAGTATGCAGACGTCGCTCTCATCCTCGAAGAGGAGGAAAAGGTGCAGACGGCTTCAGATGACCAGAGTCGTTGTGTCCATTGGTGTGCACTTGGTACCCACAGTGTGTCATGTTATCCTAATGACTTCTGTCCTAGCGGGTGGGTGGCTTACCGTCAGGCATGATCATAAGGTTAGCCAGAATAAAGCGGGATTTTTTGCAGTCGCAGGTAATATAACAAGTGAGCGATGGGTTAAGAGAAGGGTAAAGATAAGGAAAGGCGTAGCTGCAGGTGTGTTATCAAAGTGGGTATAGCAGTGCCATGCCATCATCGCACTTAAATACTTCGGTTTCTGGACAGCCCTGTAATGGACGTCATTTCTGTGAAGATTTGGTTTGGATGTTTCGATAAGGAAGACAGAGCTGTCGGCTTTATTAGGCTATATATGTATCGGTAGAAGAGAGCAGAAATCAGGTGAATTTGGGATTTAGTGCTCTAAACGAGGGGGCTTGACACCAAGCATCCGCCCATTTTCTGTACATTCGCTACGGCCGCATCCACATATATGGATGCATTTTCAAGAACGCGTGTGGCTCTTGGATCTTAGGGCTCAAGTTTTCGGTACTTGGTCTATGACTGATAAGTAAACACCTTTCTTTAGCTTTAACTTTGCCGCACACATCAATGTTTATGGTTGCCGAATCCCGCCAACGAATCGTCGACGTACACACGGCTCCCTCAGTATCGCCTATTGGACTAGTTCAGCAAGTGGTAAGTTTACTGTTATAACAGTATATCTCCGGGTTCAGCGCAAACACTGAGTGAGAGTTATGGATGAAGCTATTTGTTAGGCATTTGTTACGTATTTGTTAGCCACTGCAACTTTGTTTACTTATTTCTTTTAAATGCTATCACGGAAAATGCTCACGAGTCGTAATTGCCCGTACATTTTTTTCAGATACACTATCGAGTAAGAACCTCAGAAGTGGATTGACCACACATTATGTTTATACCGATGTAATCAATAAAGAGACACATGATTTGTTAAGGGTGGTTGTGCATTTTTCAAGCATGGGTTGTTGGCAGGTGAACGACGTATGGATATGAAGGACCAACGTTGGTCTGTTATGGTCCATTATGTATAGTTTAGACATTATTGTAAGCTACGAGCATGTGCGCGGGCCATGCGGTTACTGTAAGTAGCCTCGGCGGGTGACATCGAGTGAAGTTATGAGTATGGCGGGCCGTCGTTTACCATCTGACTGGGCTACTGAGCACAGTTAAGGCCCCATAATCAGTGTTGCATTTAGACATAGGCCTTGGAATTGCGATAAGTAGCCAAGGTAGGCGATATATATATATATATATGATTATGACGGATCGTCGTGTGCAGTTATATTAAGATATCACGCACAGTTGTGGCCTCAGTTCATCGGCCTGCATGGATACTGGCCTGGTGTTTACTATAGGTAGCAGTCATAATGGAGAACTCGCACAGTTACGGGTATGACGGGCCACCGTTGGCAGTTAGGTTGGGACAGTGCGCATAGTTGAGGCCTGATAATTAGCGTCGCATATAGGCGCTGACCCAGCAGTTTCAAAAAGTAAACAAGGCAGGCGATATCGTGTACAGTTGTATGAGAACCGTCGTTCGCCATTAGATTAGGTATGTGTGCATATTTCGGATCTCGTATCCATCGGATCGCACTAATACTGGCTCGGTGTTAATCATAAGTAGCATAGATAAGCGTCAACGCGTA